GAGATCAGTAGCAAATAGTAACGGTTTACTGTAAAAACATGAATTTGCAAAATAGGTTTCTATTAATTACTTTTTTGAGAGAAATAGAAGTAACTCCTCAAAGATTTTTATGATAACAGAAATGGTAACAGTAACAATAATATACTTGTACTGTGAGCAATAGAAGATATAAAATATATTTTTGACATATTAATGTAAATTGATAAAATTCCATGCTTGGAATGTTTCTTAAATAAATTTGGTAAATAGGAAATGTAAAATAAAATTTTTCTTCTAGATTCAATGTGTAAACGAAAATTTGTGTAAGATACTCTTTGAAAAGGAGGAAATCTTCTTAATAGCCTTTATAATAATCCATTTAATCTTTTCATTTCAGAATATGTATTTTCGTAATATGAATTTTGTGGAAAAAAAACTTCCTGCTGCGCACAAATCAATCGAAATACATGTATTGATAGCTGATTAGCATTTAAGCTAATTCACCTAATAAAACCTTAATTCATCCAAGACGTTAATAAAACTTTCTATCGTATTCTCCCAGAATTCCACAAAAAACCTATATTCAACAAACAATCCCATGAAACATGTTCCCAACAGCAAACAATAGCAAAGAACACATTCCCTTAACACTAAACATACCGGTACTTTATCGTCACCTATTCCTATCGTAACAGCTCAAGTAGTTGGTTATAAAATAAAGGTAAACAAATGAAACAATCAATTTTTTTTGTTAAAACAAAGGGAAGAACAAAAGTTTGAAACCGTTTAATCGGATAACCGATACGAAGTTAAATGAGTGAAAGGAAATGCGGAAATTTTAATAAAATTTTCAAACCGGTCATTTATCGGTCGTGGTACGTTTAGCATTCTTCTTTCCGGATAGCGTAAAGAAAAATACGAAAAACATCCAACTCCCGAAATGCCGACCAGAAAGGACAAACTCGTCGGTTTATTCACCCTCGAATGGCGGTCGGGAGGCGTAATTGAACACGAGCGGGGCAAATAAGAAATTCCAGGCACGAGTAATCAAATGGTGGGAAGGGAGTACAGCGGTTCGCGAAACAAGAGGACGACGAAGCTCTAGGCCGGCTGGCGAAGAAGGCGCGAAGGAGGGATCGTGAAACCGCAGAGCAGGATATTATCGAGCGCGTGGAACGTGCGGTTAGGGGCGGCGATGCGCCATCGTCGAGTATAAATCCGCTGATACGACGTGAAAGCCGACGCCGGCACGGGACGGGCCTAGGATTTTTCTCGGGGCTTGAACCCGGCCGTGGGAGGGGGGCTGGAGCTAGTTCAAAAGATGTCGGATAATGTCGGCGTTGTAGGTGCGAGACCCGATGCTGCAGTTGCAACTGCAGCTGCCGCAGAATTGCTGCAGGGGGCGACGGACGAGTGGACGTGACCGGCGATACGAAACGCGAGACATCAACGAAAAGGCGGGCACCGTCCAATGTCAGTTGTTTTGGAGACAATTTTCATCACCGTGCACGTTCATGGGATATGTGGCTTTTCTTCTATGTAATTTCAATAAAGATTTTACGTTTTATCTTGGGTTTTTAGAATGAAATTGGATTTGACCCTTTGCATTCAGAATTTTTTTTGCTGGATGTATCCATGATTTTTTAATGAGACATTGATAGTTTTGGGAATTAATATAAATAATATGGAAATTAAGGGTAGGATTATTCTGTTTCAACGTTTCATGTGTGATTGTACTAACTTTGGTGTTGAATATCGGAGTTTATAATTTTGATGTGTCAAACCGAATGGCGACTGCGAATTTAGTGTGTAATTAATCCTTACGGAAAGGTGTCTGTAATTAATCTGTTATTTAAGATTAAGCAAATTTTGGATCATTGTTTAATTAATATTTGATTACTAATATTAATAAACTTGATTAATTGCTAATAATTAATTAATTTAATTTAATTGCTAATATTAGCTAAAGTTACTAAGTGACGTATGCTTTTAAATTAGGTTTTAAGTAGCTTTCAAAGTAATTTATAAAAATATATTTTTGGTGAAGATTATAACGAAAGTTAGTCAAAGATCTTCAAGCAGAATGGCATATATATTACTAAATAAAATTGGTTTTTCCTTTCATTTATATTATTGTATAAAAATAGAAGTGAACTTACGTATTAATTGAATATAAATATTTCATGTTGTTGTTAACTCTTCGTTAAAATAATTGACCTGTATTTCGTTTTATTTCACAATATTTTTAATTGCACGTATCCTTAATCTTAGCTGTTCGGTCTTAATTAAATTAAACCTTTATGACACTAATTAGGTATTAAAGCGAAAACTATGCTTTATACAAGGAAGAAAGCAATAAAATACTAGTAAAAACACTAATAAAATTAGTTCGACAAACGCAGAAAACTTTGATAATTGTAATAAATTGAGTAATGAGCACGTGTATTGATAAGTGTCGTATAAATGAAATTTAGTGAAGATAATTATATAGAACAGGGGCACAGCTGAGCGATTTTAGTGATCTTGAAATTCTACGTTAAGGTTACTGTCTTAAGTAACTTGACATATGGGTATGCAGTGACAGCCGAAAGTACTTGTAAAGTAAAAGAATCTGGCGGAAGAAGTTCTAGTTCGTTAGTGTATCATTTTATTTTAATGAACATTATTTTCTATTTACATTAATGTTCTACATAAGCATGCGCATAAACATGAAATTTATATTCCTTAATGTACTAATATTTTGAATAGACTAAAGTATTCATGCATTATTAACTTAATAATGATAAGTATCATTAATTAAGACGAAAAATAAAAGATAAAGCAGAAAGAATTATTCGGCACCTAATTATAAAATAATGAATTTTAATATTTATTTGTATTCATAAAATGTATCATGATTAAAGTAGCCACACATAAAGAAATAATTTCATCATTTTGAAATGTCCAACAAAATTTTCCTATAGTACGAATTTTGGATGCTTTATTCTTAAAATTATAAGCGTTTCAATATTTTCTAGTATAAGTTGACCTGCTTGGTTAACTTCTTAACTTCAGTGATACTTGTTTAATTTTCAATTTTTTCATTTTATATATACACTCTACAAACATGTGAATCACTTCTGCTAAAATAAAGCTGAACTTTTATGAAACATTTCACACTAGAGGCTTAACTACATTATTCGATGCAAAGAATGATTCATAAATACTACTATAGACACTTGGATACTACGAAAAAGGCATTAAACTCTAAAAGAACTATCATCAAGGATAATCAGTTCCACTAAACGATATTCTGTCAATGTCCTGGAATTATTAAATCTTCTTAAAACGACCATTTCAGGCCGAAGTTTACCGATAATCGTGATTTATAGTCGCGAAGCGTCGTTACTGGTAGGCGATCATCTAGTCGAAATGAGTTTCCTGACCGATTGGTATGCTTAGTGTCGCCGCGGAATCGTTACAGCGTGTAATAAAAGAACGGAAATTGCTCTTTACAGACATCCCCCTCTGTATACAGAAAAAGTCATTAGTCGTCGGCCCGATTTCTCGAATATCGATCGGATACAGGAAGCTATACCATTTCGTGAAAGAAAGGAGAATGGATCAATCTCGAAGGAAACTTTCGTCAGTGCGTTACGAAGATTTAAAAAAGTAATGAAACTGCCTCGATAAACATATTTATATGTCACTCAATGAAAAATGCATATTCTCTTGAAAATAGTTCTCTTAACACTAAAATTACCAAGCAGTTAAATTGACTTTTTGAAATTTCTCTATAGAAACTCTAAGTGCATCTATCGAAACTTAAATTGATTTACAATTCAGTTTGTGTATTGCTAAATTAATTTCTTTAATTATTTTTCAGAGAAACATTTGTTATCTTTTTAGTAATTGCAAAAAGAATCAAGAGTGAGTCAGTTAGTTTTGGCAGTTTTAGTCTTAAAAAGTAACACACCGCTTGAAACGTTATTTTCCATGCTTGGAAAAAGCGAACTAAATTTCTTTCAGCGAAAATTTTTAACTGCTCTGTTACAACCTATTAGATGTTTCCAAATGATGCATATTAAAATAGCTTTTGATTTATAGGAAAATAAAACAGACACATCGATTAAAATCTGAATAGTATAAAAACTATGAAATCGTAAGAATACGTTTATTGCTTTAAACACTGAATTATAGAAAGTAATTTTGAAGGCAATATAGTCATTTTAAAGCTAGGACAAGGTACATTTTCTATAACCCTTTACATCTTTTTGTTCAAACACATCTTAACACTGAAGCTACACCTATTCCTTATTTCTTCTTTCGTAATTATTGAAAAGATATTTCTTAGAGAAATTACTAACTAGACTAATTTAGTAATGCACGAACTAAAATATAAGCCAATGAAATTCTCAATAAATGCACTCTTATAATATCTCCAAAAAGGTAAAAGGAAATTAATTTGACTGCTCGGTAGTTAAAGTGTTTATAATACTGCTTCGGAAGAACTGATTTGAAATTAACCAGTTAACTGCGTTCGACAAGCACATATGTCATCTTAAAAGTAAAAAATTTGAAACTAAATTCCACAGTTAACCGGTTAATACTGAAGGTAAAGTGGAAATAACAGAAAAGAAATAGAAAGTTGGAAATTTCTAAAAACCGAAATCTGTTTCATTAATTTTTAGGCACACCTCGTAGCACATCACGCGACATCTTCCTCGGGGCGCGTTCTGAAGAAACTCGCGTCCACAATCTCGTCGGATGAAAACGTCCCTTTTGTCCGCGCGGTCCCGTCCGTTGCTTATTAACGACGCATGGGGCAGACGAGGGTGGAAAGCTTCGAAAAACTGGCCTATATAGGTACAAGCTAGGGTAGGGATGAATCGAGGCACGGACAAAGGGAGACGTTCGGCTTTTTGCCCCGGCGAAACATGTTTCTTCTTGGTAGAACGCGACGTCGGCTACGGAAATTGCACCTAGATGGGAACGATCGACGCTCACCCCCTGCGGGCTTGCCCGACGAACAGATAGCTTACCTTCGAGGTTTGCCATGGAGAACCTATAGCTGTCGATCCTCGGCGTGTTGATGTCCGAGTTGAAAGGCCTGAGGGTCGCAGAGCTCACATTGTCTAGACCCTGAAACATCAATTCATCGAGACGTTAGAGCTTAGAAATGGTTACGTTTCTCGTTTTATTGGGTTGGCCAAAAAGTCTTATCGCCTTTGTTATTAATGAGACGTTTATGGTGTAATGTATGAATAAATATTACAAACAAATAAAGAGACAATAGAAAGCTTTCGAATAAAATACACAATTACAGTTTGATGAAGCTTGATTCAATAAAGTGAAATTTTTCTTTGAACTTGAGTTGGAAATGCGATAAGACTTTTTGACTGATTCAATAGATGTAATATGCGACCAATGGATGTTTTCTGAGATCGATGCAAATGACGTTTTAGAACGATGAGCTTGAATGGCTACAATGAATGTAGAGGAAAATATATTTTTTTTCTGTATTTAACGTAATTTGAGAAAGCTTATCTATACGATTGATTTGAAGCTAATAAAATCCTTGTATTTTTAATTTTTATATAAATAAATAGCTTTTATTATTTACAAACTTGTATTACTAATTCTGTATTAAAACATGCAAATATAAGATACTATAGGGATATCAGAAAATATCCCTATATTTGCTCTCCACAATCTTCACTCCTCTGTACACAGGCACGTTTAATTTTCTGAGTAAGTGCATCTATATTTGCAAACACGCTTCGCGTTGATGAGTCAGCCTCTCTGGTGTGAACCATTTTGGGATTATATATATTTAACTCCGCCGGCCCTTTGTTTTAATATTTCGCGCGTTCTTCGAAGTTGCAGTACATCTCTGTACATTAGGTACATTTAGCTTGATATTTAATAAGCAAAATTTGATTAAAACCATTGCAAAAATATTGAAGAAATAGACATATATCTAACCAACTAACTGCGTTCGACGAGTATACACGTCATCTTAAAATCAAAATAATACTAATTGTTTCAACGATAAATTATTTACTTTTTCAAATGAACAGGTAATTCTTCTTCGTTTTGCTTCAGATTTTCGTCACAATATATTATAGGTTCATTTGGCCTGCGTTAAACGAATATACACTTCATTATTTGATTTCATTGTGAGCATTATCAGAGATTTTTGAATTTAAATTCCACGAAAAATTTGAGTGTTATTTATTTTTTTAAATATGAATTAAATAATACTTTTCTATTATCAGTCATTAACCTTTGGAGTAAACGTAGACATATAATAACCATACAAATTTGTCTTTTCCTAATAAATTATTAACGTTAAAGCAGTTGTATCATAGTTAAGAAATAAATCATAAGGCAAGGGGTTAACAGGTTAAATTAGACTATAGCGTGCTCAGCTATCGCTGACAGAGAACAAATTAAACCTATTCCACAGTTAACAGGTTAAAGAACGATTCAAGGTAGCCAACGGAAGCTAACAAATTTATTTACCAGAAACATCCTCCCGATAATCAGAATCAATATAGACCCAAATATCGTTGCCTAAAAACGCCTAAATTATGCACATAGATCCTACTGAACGATTTACATTTTCAAACATCAAAACTAAAAACCCATGCTACCAGAAATTAAAATACCGAACATGAATCAGAGTTCGTTGAAACAAACCTATCATTCTTCAAGAAGCAGCCTTAGCGCCCGGCACAATAAGGTGACTCGAGCCTTGAAATCGCGGCTCTACTTCTTTTCACGCAATCTTTCCTCGTTCGTCTGCCCGAAATGGCATCAATAGCCGAGTATATTTCACGAGCAAGTCGCGGCGACGGGTTCCTTGAAACGGAAATAGCGTTCGCGACGCAGGCTGAATTCGTCGCGGCTACGAGGTTTCTTACGACACACCAGCAGTCAGCCCGCGGCGCGGTCGATCGGTAATCTGTTCGAGATCCTTTTACGTTCGCAGCTCGACGGGAAATGCGATTTGTGCGAGTCCGTCGGATTCGCTCACCCAATTTCCTCCGAACGGTCGGGTAATTCTAGAGCATGGGTGTCCAACCTCTTAACTTCTGAGCGACATTATATAGAGAAGAAAAAAATTGTCGTGAGCTACATACGAGTCGCTCAGAAGCTAATGCGGTTAAGTCTAGCAAATAGAAATTGTGGAAATTAATGTTTTGACTTCTGAAATTATTATACAACATATTTAGAAGCTATCAAAAGAAGGGTTTTCTTCCCTAGAAAAAGCAAAGAAACGAGTAAATCCTTTATTAACTAAAAAGAATGTTATTTATTCCATTAAAATGTACAAAAATCAGAAAATATCAGACAATAGATTTAACAAGATTAGCTTCTGAGTGATTCATATTACAAATGTTCGCAAAAGTTACTAGAAACTTACGCATATAAAAATATTAAAATTAATTAATGAATAACGATTAAGCGACTGGCCAAATGACTGGTTTTCAAATTGAATTAAAAATTCCGCATTTTCTTTGGTCCATTTAGCTTAAGTATTGATTTTCGTATATGTTGATATGCTCATGTCGCAAACAAAAGTGAAAAAGACTTAAATCCATCACTTTTCGAAACTAACTACAGTATTTCCTAGTAAATAGAATGGATAATATGTAAGGAAGTAGGTTACTAGTCCTGAAACAAGTCTCAAAAAACCTTGAAGCTATTGCTGCTCGCATGAGACCTCGATGGCAATGTATGCACTGTTAGAAATATTCAAAATGCGCGCTGAACTTCGGAGGATTCATTATTTGTCTTGTAACCGATAGCATTTTTGTTATGTTTAACACTATTTCTACCGAATGTGTCAAAGGACACCTTCTGAAATTTTCACATAAAATTATTTTCCAAGTTTAATCGTATATTCTGAATTGTTTTTCGACTTTTCCTATAAAGATTATAAAATTGACTACAGGAAATGTGAAAAAGTGAAAATTTCAAAAGGTATCTTTCGATATCTTTAGTAGAAATAGTGTTAATACCGTTTTTTGTGTCTCTCTGAATTGGTTAAAATGAGATTTATCTGTTTCAAAACATTTATTTCTCTAGTTATAATTTATTAAATAACCATCCTGTTACAACAATTAAAAAAAGTTCATTAAAGAAAATACTTCGTTTTATCATGCATCATAAAATATCGTGTAAAAATTGAGAAAGCTTATCGTTTGTCCCAAGATATGTCTCGAAATAAATCTCAACGATACTTTTCGTGTAACCCGTGTTGGACATTTCTGTTCCGAAGTGAAGGCGGCAGTGGGGAATCAATTTCGTAGGAATTGCTTAGATCGGCAAAATTTCACATCACGATCCGCCACGTAACTGTTTTCACGCGCGAAATTGAGACCCAGCGGTGAAATACCACCAGGGAACGACTAACGCTGCTGAAAACCAAGAATTGGAAGATTTCCAAAGCGATAGATCTCGAAGTTACGCGCGTTCAGCGATAACAACGCGATGAGTGACGGGCTGGGTTGACGGGATACACTGTATCGAAAGTTCGAGGTGTTGCGACGAGATTTCAGAAAGGATGTTTGCGGATAAAGTTCGCTTCACTCGCACAACATTAGTTTGAATACTGTAACAAGGTAGTGTGTACACGTGAAGTGTTCCGCGTCAGTTTCGACGGAGCTTCGTAAATCTATAAAATAGCTAAACTATGAAGAACGTGTTATGGAGAATGCGAAAGGCACTTGCATACTTTGTGTAACACTGAATGGTTTCATAAACAGCATCGTTTTCTTTTATGTCATATAAATACGATAAAGTAAATAAAAATGTTTTAAACTGATTATCTGTATAATACACTTATTTATTATACGAGTTTGTGCTACTAGAAATATTGTGATAGTGCTATAGTAAAGAATTTTCGATGAAATGAATAAGAAAAAGAAAAATAATTGAAGCATATAGATGAATATAAAGGATGAGTTAATTCATTATTCTTAGTTAACAGGTTAAATAGAGTTATTGTAATGTTTTCAAAGAAATATCCAGAATGTCTAAGATTATGTAAAATCAATTTTATCGTTGGAAATTTATTTAAACACGAACGAAAATCTATTTGACGGAACCTCGTACATTTCCAATTGCAATTCAAAAAACTGAAAGCAATTAATTACAAAATTTAACTATTAATTAATCATAAATGATATGACATGTGATTCTACGTTGGGCGTAGTATGCATGTATATGACAGTGTATACTACACACGAAATAATAGAGTTCATTTATTTATTAATAACATTACAACGTGAATTTTCTCTCAATCCCAGAATGCGGCAAGAGTAATCTTACCATGTATTGAAATCTCCGAAGTATTACAATCTATACGCACGATATAGTACTAAATGTATGATTCTATGACGTGAAAACCAACCGCAATGTTATTAATATGATAACCTTCAATAAATTAATTTTCTATATTTTTATAAAAAGATTATAAAGATTAAACAAGAAAATATTACACAGACTCGAATATTATGTTTTACAAAAACTCATAATTTCTGTAAACTTAAAAATATATGAACATATACAATTATTCCTGTTAACTAACTTCTACAATTTTTATCAGTAGATTGAGATACGTTAACCTTAAATTGATTCGCTACAAATTATATATATCCGCAGTATCAGTTAACATTCAAACTGCTCGAAAATGAACACAAAAATTATCAGCGTTTAATAATGATTTAATGTTATCTTCAAACTAATGGAATTGTCTAAGCCGCAGAAACATGTTCCTGCATAAATATTTATAGTTCACTTAATAAATAAATCTTTGATCGAAAAGTCTCATTTCATCTGTCAATTAGCATTAGTTTTTAAGAGGTTTTACGGAAGTAAAACTTTTGCTCCCGTAAACTTCCCAGCAGCTAAATGTTCGCTACTTATTCGATTTGCTATCAGGCTAAACCCGCTGGATGGGGACAGATAATCCATATCAGTTAATAAAATAGCGAAGAGCAACATTCCTCGCAGCCAGAAGAGTCAAGCGAGTTTGTAAGTACGTTAGCCGAATGAACCGATTAAAAAGGCGATCGCGCAGATTAACCGACTCGTCACTCTTCTAGACGTGTTTCGCTCCTTTTCTATCTGGA